GTGGTCCCTTCCTCTTCTTCACGCCTCCTTCTTGTTGGCTCGCCGTCCAGGCCTCGAGATCGTCGTCTTCGTCATCGTCGCCATGATCTGCTTTCTTTTCCTTGTCGTCAAGCTCCTCCTTCACCACCACGACCACCATCTTCTGCTCCTTCTTCGACGATCCCCGCTCGCTCCTGTGGCGCCGCCCAACGCTGGCGGGCGTCTGGTCCTCGCCCCCGCCCACGTCGATGATGTTCGGCTTCTCCCGCTCCACGCGGCTGTGGCTACGCGGCCGGCCGACCTCCACCAGCGGCCTGACCTCCTCGCCGGCGTCGATGATGTTCGGCTTCTCCCGCTCCGCGCGACTGTGGGCTCGCGGCCGGCCCTCCGACTTAGGCGTCCGCCGCTCGGACCGCATCGTGGCCTCGCCGCCGCGCCTTCGCGACGTGGGCCGCGCAGGGAAATCGGCCACGCTGCTGACGTCATCGTCGTCGTCGTAGTCGTTGTCGAGGTCTCCGTTGTGGTTGCTGCTGCCGCTGTCGTCGTCGAGCAGGCCTCCGTCGTGCCGGCTGGCGCCGCGCCGTATGAGCACCTGCGGCTCGCCGGCCTCGCCCTCTTCGCCTTCGCTGGTGTGCAGCCGCACCGAGACGAGAGGGGACGACGGCGTCGAGGAGCGGGGTGGCGGCCACAAGGGCTCGGGGTGCGTCATGCCGTTGATGATGATCACCTTCTCCTTGCTGAGCGGCTGCTGCGGCTGCGGCTGCGGCTGTGGCTCGTCCGACACGAGACTCGAGTCGTATTCGTAGGCCAACCGCACCCGTGTCGACCGTGACGGCGCCGGCGACGCCGGTGTCGGCGACGGCTGGGCCAATCGCTGCAGGATGCGGAGGAGATGGGGTTCGAGCTCGGCCAGAGCCGCGCCCACGTCGTTGGGCGTACGGTGCGGGAACTGGCTCGCAAGTTCGGCGTCGATCAGGGCCTGCAGCTTGAGGAGCTGGCTCCGCTGGGTCATGACCAGCGTGGGCACGAGTGGTGCGGGTGCCGGTGAAGGAGGTGCCGAGGTGGTTGAGGACCCCTCATGTGTGTTCCGCCTCTCGCCTTCGCGGCTCTCCTTGCGCTTGAGGACCATCTTCTCTACCATGTGCCTCATCCGCGAGAGGCTGCCCTTCCGCTCGAGCTTCTTCGAGCCCTCGTCTTCTTCGCCACCAACGCCACCGCCGCCACCACCGCTGCTGCTGCTGTCGACCACCGCGGAGAGGGTGGTGCCACCGCCGTCTTGACCCACTTCTCGCTCTCTCTTCCTCGGCGAAATAACGGGTACTACGACGACTATGGGTTCGCCGATGACGAGGCCCTCCTCTTCGGGCGCGCTCCCGCGGGGATCGCCCTCGATGCTGGCGTCGCTGTCGCTCTTGGGTCCGTCGGCAAAGAAGAGTACTCGCGCCCGGCTGCTGCCATCTTCGTCGTTGTTGTCGTGTGGCGGCTGGTCATCCTTGAGGCCCGCAGGCACGTCGTCGCCGCCGGGCGGTACAAGGCATCGTTCTGCGCCACACCGGTTGTTGATTGATGAGCCCAGAAAAAAATGGAGACGTTGCTTGGCAGGTTACGATGCAACGTCGAAAAAGAAAAATAAGAAAAAAACACAAATCAAAAGGTGGAGTAGGGGCTGTACGAGAGAGGGGGAAGATGAAGAAGGCGAGGTGGTGGGGTGAGGGTTGCGTCGTTTGTCGGCTTTGTTGAGGAGGTTGGTGCGTAGTTTGATGTTTCGGCGCCCGCCTCCTTGATCGTTGGATGTGACCGATGTGTAGGTGTGGGCCGCTTCTGGTTTGTAGCAATTGGCGCACTTGGCCGGAGCCCAATAGTTTGGTGTGAAGGTGGAGCACGAGGTCAGGCTGCTGCACTGCATAGCAGCTCAAAGCGCCTTTGCGCGCTCTATCTATCTATCTTCTTCTTGTCTTCTGAAGTTGTTCTTTTTGTGAAAGGAAAGGTAAACTCAAAATGTAACTTCCCGACAGCTGCGCAGCATTGCAGCGCAACCCAAACCGTCGAGGACGTGGGTTCGATCCTCATGCCGGACGATTGCTAATCACAGTTCAGTAATTGTAAAAAATGCTATTTTTCTCACTCAAGGCTGTCTTGTAAGACAGACCACCAGCTTTTGGGATGAGGGTCAAGCCAAGGAAATGTAAATGTAAATGTTTTGTTTCTCCTTTTTTACTGCATAACTGGAATTTCGCCAGCCGTTACTCGCTGCGCATTCGGCAATCAAAAGATTTGAGCTCGTGTGGTCGACCTACATCGCCCCCATTGAGAAAGCCTTGGCGAACTGCAGTTCGAGAAGAAGAGCTAGAGAGATCGAGTGTCAAGATATCTTTCAAATCTGCAAATAATAACAATGGAAGAGGAAGAGGACATGCTGCGCCAGCGCTTCTCAGAAGATGAGCTGGAGAGGCTGCGCCCCAGCTTCACCGCCGACGCCACCAACGATGAAACGTTCAACGATTCCGCTCCGGCAGGTGCGTCAAATACTCCATTACGCGCTCGCCTGCTCTGCACCTAAATGTCGTGTAAAATCGTCAGTATTTAGTAATTAATTGATGGCACGAATTGGCCCATTTCCAGACGATTGGGAACAGAGGCACGAGGAGATGGCTCGCCTGCTCGAACAAGAACATCAGAAATTCGCATCGAAGGGGGGCGACCTGATGGACGACATAGATGACGATGATGACGACGACCTTGAAGATGAAGACGAGCTCGGCGCTCACGCTGTTCGAGGCGCGCACCAACCGCCGCCCGAGGGCTCGTTCTTTGGATTCAACACTTCGCTGGAGCACCTGCGCGGCTCCAACCTCGACGATCTCGAGGAGGAGGTGCGACCACATCACCGCCTCCGCTGTCGGCCTCATTCACCAAATCCTGAACCCTTGGCGTGTGCGTGTTGTGCGTGTGCGTGTCGTGTCGTGTCGGGTTGTGTGGTTTCTTTCGTGCGTGTGCGTTGGTATGCGCAGGAGGTGCTGTCTCGAGTGTCGCGGATGGGCCTCGGTCCTGCCAACGGCAGCAAGAGGGGGGTCGCCGACAGTCTCAACGACGAGACCTTTGGCGACGACGGCCTGGTATGTGCTTTTCCTCTTCCTCCATCACACACGACACACACGACACACAACCACCATCACATTCGCAGCTCGGCCCGGCGCTCACTCGTGGTGACAGGAGGGCAGCGAGACGGCCTGGGAGGGCCTGGGCAAGGACGACGACGTGGGCGATGAGGTGGGTGCCAGCCAGCAGTCGGGCCGACAGGGAGGCTTCGGCGGTCCCGACCCCAAGCGCGTTTCGGTACTCATGCGTGTACCATTCGGTTGGCGTGCGCGTGTCTACAAGACGCACCGCACCCACACCCGATCACGTGTGTCGTGTGTGTCGTGTGCTACGTGTGTGTGCGGTGGTGCGTGTGCGGTGGTGCGTGTGCGTAGGGCATTATGTCGCTGGAGGAGATCGAGGCCAGCCTGGCCCGCGCCAATCCCGCTGCGGGTAAGTCGGTTGCGCCCCCGATGGGCATGCCGCCGGGCGCTGCTGGCGGCCGGCCGCCGATGCCCGGTCTCGATCCCCGCTTCGGACCCATGCCTCCCGGCATGATCCCGCCCCAAGTACCCCCCCCTCAGCCCTCGCCCGACC